CAGGACTTTTTTCAATGTTTTCAGTAATCCTAGCAATATTTATTTTACTAGATGAAGATGGACCTAGACATGTAGAATGGCAGAGAACGCAGAGGGTAAAGAGGTGGCTCCCTTGGTACAGTGCCTGCCTGATGCACAGGCATGAGGATCTGAGATAGAACCCCAACATCCACATAAAAGCTGGTTGATGCACATCTGTAACCCTTTTACTTGGATGAGGGATAGAGATGGGTGGATCCATGGACATGAGAAAAGGACAAGAAAAAGACTTATTAGCAAAGCATTTGGATCATGTATAGCTGATAAGAGACTATCATGATTGTTATAACTCTGGATCAATAAGTGAATTATAGGTCACTATGACATAAAAAGGTATTTCAAAGAAGAAAAAAAAACACAAATAGCTCAAAATACATTGTACCCCTTTAGTAGTTTGTAGAAGCCAATGAATGTATAAATGACACCACATTACTAGACAAAAATGAAATGTTGATTGGCTTAGAGTCAACGTTTTTATAAAATCTTTCCATTGGTTGCACATTTTCTTCTGGTGGTGCCCTGTATCTCTATAGTGCTGCAGGCATTCTTGTTGAAAAACCCCAGTGTTTACATACACCGGGCTTATCAAGATCATGACTTTCAGAAGGTCATATCTGAAAAGCTGCTCTAGATGAAAATTGCCCCTATAGACTATGTTTGAATACTTGGTTCCCAGTTAGTGGAACCCTTTGGGGAAGATTATGATGTGTGACCGTGTTGGAGAAAGTGTGTCATGGGGTAAGCTTTGCTCCTGGCTTTCTTGCTGCCATGCCTTTGTTCTACCCTAACAGATTCTAACCCTAGGAAACCGTAAGCCCAATTAAAGGCTGTCTTTTATAAATTGTCATGGCATTTTGTCACAGCAACTTATTTACTGTCTTTTTTCATTTTTTTTTTTCCTTTTTTATTTAAGTTTGAAACAAGGATGATTTGCATGTCAATCCCAGTTCCCTCACCCTCCCATCCTCCCCTATCACTGCAACCAAACCCCAGACCATCCCCTTTCTGCTCCCCAGGGAGGATGAGACCTTCCATAGGGCGTCTTCAAAGTCTGTCATATCATTTAGGCAAGGTCCTAGGCCCTCCCCCATGTGTCTAGGCTAAGAGAGTATCCCTCTATGTGGGATAGGCTCCCAAAGTCCATTTGTATACTAGGGATAAATGCTGATCCATTACTAGAGTCCCCATAGACTGCCCAGTCCTCCCAACTAACAATCACATTCAGAGGGTCTGGGTCGGTCCTATGCTGGTTTCCTAGCTATCAGACTGGGGTACATGAACTCCCCATTGTTCAGGTCAGCTGTTTCCGTGAGTTTCTCCAGACTGGTCTTGACTCCTTTGCTCATCACTCCTCCCTCTCTGTAACTGGACTCCAGAAGTTCAGGTCAGTGATTAGCTGTGAATCTCTCCTTTTGCTTCCATCAGCTACTGGATTTAAAGTAGTCATCAATCTCATTATAGGGTAAGGGCATTTAAGGTAGATTTCCACTATTGCTTAGACTGTTAGTTGGGTTCATTCTTGTAGATCTCTGGGCATTTCCCTTGTGCCAGATTTTTCCTTAAATCTATAATGGCTCCCTCTATTATGGCATCTCTTTTCTTGTTTTCATCTTTTCTTTCCCTGTCTCAATCTTCCTGTTCCCTCATGCCCATTTCTCTTCTCCCCTTCTCTTTCTACTAACTCCACCTCCCCTCCCTCTATGCTCTTTCCCCTTCCCCTTCTCCAGGGACCATGTATGTCTCACTTTGGGTACTCCCTGTTTCCTACCTTTTCTGGTGCTGTGAATTGTAGGTTGGTCATCCTTTGCTCTGTGTCTAAAATCCATATATGAGTACATACCATGTTTGTCTTTTTGTGACTAGGTTACCTCAGTCAGATTGGTTTCTTCTAGTTCCATCCATTTTCCTGCAAATTTCAGGATTCCACTGTGTTTTTCTGCTGAATAGTACTCCATTGTGTTAATGTACTACATTTTTCTTTAGTTGAGGGGCAGCTAGGTTGCTTGCAGGTTCTGGCTATTACAAATAATGCTACTATAAACATAGTTGAACAGATGTCCTTGTTGTACAAATGTGCATATTTTGTTTATATTCCTGAGAGTGGAATTAGTGAATCTTGAAGTAGACTGATTCCCATTTTTCTGAGGAATTGCATACTGATTTCCAAAGTGGCTGTACCGAATTTGCACTCCCAGCAGCAATGGAGGAGTGTGCCCCTTTCTCCACATCCTCCCCAGCATAAACTGTCTGCTTGTGTTTTTGATTTTAGCCATTCTGACAGGAGTAAGATGATATCTCAGAGTTGTTTCAGTTTGCATTTCCCTGATGGCTAACGATGTTGAGCGCTTTCTTAAGTGTCTTTCAGCACTTTTAGATTCCTCCATTGAAAATTCTCTATTTACTTCTGTACCCCACTTTTTAATTAGATTATTTGGTGTTTTGGTAACTAGCTTCTTGAGTTCTTTGTCTTTGTATATTTTTGGAAATCAGCCCTCTGTCAGATGTGGGGTTGGTAAATAATCTTTTTCCCATTCTGTGGGTGGCTGTTTTGTCTTGTTGACTATGTCCTTTGCCTTACAGAAGCTTCCCAGTTTCAGGGGGTCCCATTTATTAATTATGGATCTCAGTGTGTGTGCCACTGGTGTTATGTTCAGGAAGCAGTTCATTCAAGGGTACTTCCCACTTTCTCTTCCAAGGGGTTCAGTGTGACTGGGTTTATGTTGAGGTCTTTGATCCATTTGGGCTTAAGTTTTGTGCATGGTAATAGATATGGATTTATCTGCAGTCTTCTACACACATGCATCCAGTTATGCCAGCACCATTTGTTAAAGATGCATCCATTTTTCCATTGTATAAATTTAGCTTCTTTATCAAAAATCAGTTGTTCATAGGTGTGTGGCTTAATATCAGAGTCTTCAATTCAGTTCCATTGGTCTGTCTATTTTTGTGCCAATACCAAGCTGTTTTCAGAACTAAAGCACTATAATAGAGTTTGAAGTCAGGGATGGTGATGTCCTTGGAAGTTCCTTTATTGTACAGTGTTGTTTTGGCTATGCTAGGTCTTTTGTTTTTCCATATAAAGTTGAGGATTGTTCTTTCAAGGTCTGGAAGAATTGTGCTGGCATTTTGATGGGGATTGCATTGAATCTGTAGATTGCTTTTGGCATGATTGCCATTTTTACTATGTTGATCCTACCTATCCAAGAGCTTGGGAGTTCTTTCCGTTTTCTGGTATCTTCTTTAATTTCTTTCTTTAAAGACTCAAAGTTCTTGTTATATAGGTCTTTCACTTATTTAGTAATCCTGGAGCCAGCTAAGCTGAGATCAAACACTAGTTCAGCTACAGGATTTGGGACTTGGCCCAGTATGACTGGATTCCTTCCTTTTGGAATAGTAATGTATATTCTGAACTACTGTATGTAAAAAGTATGTAATTTGCATCTTGAATTTTACGGTTCAGTGATTACCTCAAGTCTGACAACAGATTCTGAATGTTGGGACTTCTAAACATTGTTGAGACTGAAAAATGAGAGAGACTTTTGAAATTTGATTAAGTGCATTTTGCCATGGAGTAGAATGTTTGAATGAGAGTAGCCCATATAGGTCGTACTTGAAAAATGGATTCCCAGTTGGTGGAACTGCTTGGAAGTTATGGCCTTGTTGGAGGGAGTGGGTCAAAGAGAGGTTTGAAACTTCAAAAGCTCAGGCCATTCCAAGTGTGTTCTCTCTGCCTTCTGCTTTTAGATCAAGAAGGGAGCTCCAGACTATCGCCGATGCAGTGCCTCTGTTCCACTGTGATGGACTCTAACCCTAAATTCTACCAAACAGTTTCTTTTCTAACTTGTCTTCACGATTATCTTTTGTCACAGCAGTTCAAAATTAAGACAAACATGCAACCCTCTGTTCAGGAAGCATTTTATACAGTTTCTGTACACTCCCTCTCCATTAACCACAAGTTAGACCTAAAAAAAAAAAAAAAAAAAAAAAAAAAACAGTCACCTAAAGTCACCAGTTGGCTTCTGGCCCCACCAAATATCTGATTCAGTAGCCTAGGGTAGACAGGAAGAAGTCAAAGTAGCCTTATTGCAGATGATACGATTCTATATTTTAAAGATCCTAAAAACTCCACCTTTAAAAAAAAGAAATCTCTACTCACTAATATATTCAGTAAAATGAGAGAACACAAAATTGAGACACAAAAACAAGAAGTCTTCCAGTATATTAATGACAAGCATATGTAGAAAGAAAGCAGGAAGGCAATACTCACAATCAGCTCCAAAAATAAACTGTCTTGGAACAAATCATAAAGTTTTATACCAACAGAACAAAAACAAAAGTTATTAATCAAGCATTTTTTCGAATACTTTCCTAGGAACATCAGGTAGGCAGGTTTTGTCACAGTGGGGAAATCTCTGCCGTGGGCCTCAGATGCTAGCTCATACATTATTAGTCATTCAGTTGATGAAACTTGTAGAAATTATCTGTACATTGGAAACTGATTGGTCCAATAGTCACAAGAATATCAGGTCATACGTAAAGGTCAACAATAAATGGTTATTTGGAGGCTAAGCTAGCCCAATGTAATTTCCCTCTGAAATTGAACATCTCCACCATCATTTGGGTTAAAATAAGTTAATCACCCCTTGTAAAACATATAACACAGGTGTGGCTCTCTTCTGGAACCTTCATTTCAAACTCACAAAAATATTAGATGTGAATAATTGACTCCAAAATGCTATGGAGGAAAAAAAAAGGCTATTTTTAATTCTAGAGGTTGTTGTGTATACAAAATGAACTAAACACCTTAACTAAAAAATAATTCTAGCATTGGAACTACAGATTTGTAGTTATTTTAGCAATATAAATCATAGTAATTTTAGCAGATATATGATCCAAAATTTTAAGAGTTGCATGATATTTGTTTTATCTTTAAATACACTAACAAAAACTTTGTTTTCCAGATTTTGGAGTCTCTTTTCAAGGTATGTGTTTCAATTCATAACAGCTTAGACTAGAGAGAAAAGTGAACATTAAGCAAAAATGATGTAGATTTTGAAGGTGCATCATTCCACAGCTGCTGCTAGATATTTTTAAGTTTCTATTTGTAATTGTATGTTGCACTAGCCCTATTCTGAACCACGCGTGCTGTGTGTGAGTCAGGAATGGTGCTGGGCAGATTCATAGACATGTGTACTAACACTCTTTTTTTATTCCTTTCTTATGAAGTGGTTTCAGCAACAAGTCAACCAAATGGAGGAGGTAAAAATCTAAAACTTCTTAACTGTTGGGTACATTAGTAAGTATTGGGCCATCTGAAAATCTGCTTGAAGTAGGGATAAGTCAAATGATTCAATAACCATTGATTGTCAAGTAATATTTTGAATTAGGTTGAAAGATAATTAATGGGTAGTAAAAATGTTTATCAGTAATTTGCATATGAGTTTCCTGCATGAGTCCAGAGGAGAACAGGACTTAACTAGATTATTGTTTCTCCTAAAGAACAATGAAAATTTCACTCACTTTCTTTTTTTGATTTATATAAAAGTAATGGTAATTTATCAACTTAAATTTCTCCTCTGCTTAAAAAAATTATGCATAGCAGGAACAGACATAAAACTATATTGACTTTTAGAAAATGTATTCTGTTCTTTGATGGCATCCTTTTCATTTTAGGTTTTTAAATATTTTCAATACCCCAGTGAGAACAACTGGCCTGTGACTTCAAGGACTTTGGGGAGAGATTTTGTGTCTTCCTCTAGCATGAAGGAATTCTTTCCTAGGTGGCTTCAGGGATTGTTCAGAAGTACTTTGCACTCATTTGGCTATGCCTATCACTCTCTCTAGTTAAACATGCTTTAAGGCAAAAGAGGCTTGCTACTTGGGATGAAAATTAAAGGGTAAAGCAGAAACTGTAATCATCAATTAGAAACTTCTCTTCATTTTTCTTCCCTCTGGCTTGAGACTTCCAAAGGCATCTAAATGTTTCCCCACACAAAATGAAAGCACATTAATATCTGGGAATTTAGTAATAGAGGGCCATGACTTTATCATTGTCTTTCTATAATGTATTACAGTAGAGTATTCTTAGGGAAAAAAATAAGGTTAAACAATTGATTTAGAATTGTTCTCGTCAATATTTTTGAGTTGCATTTGTTGTTTTGGGGCTTTCTTTAATTTTTTATATAGCAAAATAGTAAATATCAGCTTTGGCATGTAACTATCCTGGCTGAACTATTGCACTACAAACAGTGAGGTGCCCTTCATTGCATTTGTAACTATTATACCAGTGTTTGGATATGACTATCTATGAGGTTAAATTAAAGTTATTTAGATTGATAAAGGAACTAGTGAAATTAAATGAGATCAAATGACTCTTTAATAACTGGTAAATTTTGTTATTTTAGATAAGTAAAGACCAAAGCATTTTTGAAAAAGATCTTCTATCAGATGGTAAATCAGTCAATTTAAACATTACACAAATAACAAATCTGGTACATAAATTTGAAGAACTGAAAACCCGCCTGAGAGAACAAAGGGGATCCCTGCTGTTGAAACCCATGTAAGTGAAATATAAGGGTTAATTTAATTAAAATTAGTAATGTAAGCTAACTCAGTGTTTCTGCTTCACAAAGAATTTCTAAATGATATATGAATGTTTAGTTACTTTTTCTGATTTGAAGTTTTAATAATCTGAGATGGTGTAATTCAGCATAGTGGACATTAGCCACATATGGCTTTTCAAATTCAATTTAGTAAAATAAATTGGCTTCTGGGGCATATAAAAAAAATTTTAAGTACTCAATAGTCGTATATAGCTAGTATTTCAAACTTCTGTTGGATAGTACTCTCTTTAAAACATCTTGATTGTAAACATGTTTCTTAATTTAAATATATTTTAGTTGAAATAGAATTATATCATATTCCCCCCCCCCTTTCCTCCCTCCAGCCCTTCCCAGGTACCCTCCCATTCCCCCTCAAATTAATAGCCCCTTTTTCTTTATTATTATTACACAATACATACATATATGTACTATATTTATGCACAAATGCATAATAACAACTTACTGAGTTTGTTTTTATTGTTTGTGTATTTTGGTTTCAAGACTGACCATTTTGCACTGGATAGCCAATAAAGAAAGCTCATCTCTGAGGCAGGCTAATTCTTTTCCTAGCAGTCAATAATTGCCTGTAATTCTTTGTCTAGGGGTGGGACCTTCCACTTTAGCCATTGTCTCATTTAAGCAGCCGTTTCTAGGAGAGACTGTTTCGCAGCAGACTTCCTGGCTCTTACAATCTTTCTATTCCCTTTTCTGAGATGTTCTCTGAAAAATAGATGCAGGTGCCATGATGTAGATATATCCATGATCTGTTGACCTATATGCATTCTGTCCACTCATGGACTTCAGTGACAGCCTCCACTTGCTCTAAAGAAAGGCTTCTTTGATGAGAAGTGCAGGTACACTTATCTGTGAATGAGAGGATAAGGTTTAGAATGTAGTCAGATATTACACAGGTTTAGCAAATTGGTGTTGGTAGATTCTTTCTTAAGGTCCATTGCCTCACTGGCAGTGTTCCCAGTACTAGACATGATGTCCTTCCTGTTGAGTGGGCCTCAGGTCAGGTTAGACAGCTGCTGGTTGCCAACAATGTGTGAATACCACTATTGTACCTTTATGGATATCTTGTCATAGTAGGATTGTTTAATTGCTTCCCATGCTTGGAAGCTTTCAGAGTATCTTCTGGTACTATGAAAGCCAGGCTGCAGGAAGGAAGCTTCCAGGTCAGATACAGCTCAAATCATCTGAGTCCTGTGTCCAAACTATGTGATGTCTTCAGAAATAGGGTTCTACCCTCAACTCCAGAAGCAGCCAAGGTCTGTAGATAGTCTACATTGTTTTAGGAGACACTCAATATACCCTGACCAACCATTCAGTAGGTGGTTGCTTACTCCTGACACTGGAATCTCTGTTAGTTTTGGATTTTGTAGGGATCATTGTCACCCAACTGGCATAACTTCCTGCTTAGGTAGATTGGTAGATAAGAAGATGGATGAGTGGATGGATGGATGGATGGATGGATGGATAGACACACAGACAGATGACAGGTAGACAGATGATACATGGATAAATAGATGATAGATAGGTAGATGACTGATAGAAGATGGACAGATAGATGATAGGTAGATGATATATAGATATATTGATAGATGATAGATATAAACTTATATATGTATTTGTGTATAATATTAGGTAAATATAAAGCAATAGGATTTCTTGAGGCTTTATCCAGACTTATTTGTCCCTCCTCCTCTGTCTTTCACCTTCTGTATTGACACTCCTCCCTTCCTCTCTAGTTGAACTCCCTCCATTTCTTTTCACTTCCCATTTCATACCACCTATATCCTGCTATTCCTTCTCACGGCCCTTCCCCATGCCTATCATCTCTTTATACTTTCTTAGTTTTAGTCATTACTCCATGTTGTATGCTCACATCTGAGGATTTGGAGCTGGAAACCACAGGTGAGAGAGAACATTGTGTTTCTGGGTCTTTCATGTCTGAATATGTTCAAGTGAGTCCTAGTAGCAAATTCGGTGTTTATTTTAAAAAATTATAAAAACTTCCTTAGAATTGGACTTTCAACCACCAGTTTCCATCAAGTATGTATAAAGCACTTTTATATTGTTAAAAGAAAAACTACTCATAGTTGTAAGAAAGTAAAAGTCAGTTTGTGATCTCTGCATATGCTTGCCATGAATTGTTATTACGTCAGCACTGTAAAAAGGTTTCTGTGCATTTTTGAGCTATTTGTTGTCAGGAATATTTTTGAATATATATTAGAATTTATGAATGTCTTCTACACACTAGGGATTTTCTTTTTACTATTTCCTGGGAGCCTCATAACCACTTTATGAGAAAGGTGTTGGTGTATATAAGTTTTAACAGATAAAGCACCGAGACAGAGAGATTGAGAAGCACAGCAGCTGGCTCCAGGCCACATAGTTACAGGTTTGCAGAGGGGTATCTCACTCCCAGGTATGTGCCCTTAGCACTACACCAAGTTGAAAATGTATTAGCAAAAGGAGATCTCTAGTTTCTACAGATTGTTTTTTTATTATTACTATTGTGGGTTTTTTTTTTTTTTTTTGGTTCTAAATGTTACTGGTGTATTTAATTATATCCTGAAGTACACAATTCACAGAATTTGGTCTTTGTAATATACAATGGCTTTACTATTCATTTATCTTAGTAACTATGAATGAAGGATAAATGACTAACTCTGATATCACCAACTTCATATTTGTAGTCTATAAAATATAGTTCCTTGGGCATGTAACTTAACTCTTAATGTGTATGACGATATGTTTTATCTATTGGCACACTTAACAGGGATAGAGATACTCTGTCAGAATCAATGAAAAGTTATGAAGCTATAGAGAAGCAAATTGAAGGTAATATTTTATAAATGCTTAAGCTTTATATAGTTTCCTAACTATATTAGCACTTTGAGACTTAAATTTAATTTTTATAATTAAAAAATTATGCAATGGCAAACAAGACACTATGGAGTTTTGATATTTTAATCCAAGTTTTATTATAGTATGGATTTTGAAAGCATAAAAGCTTAATGCCAAGTTGAAGAGATGGCTCAGCAATTTAGAGCCCTGGCTGCTCTTGCAGAGGACCCAAGTGTGATTCCCACACCCATATGGCAGCTTACACCTCTCTGTAGTGCTGGTTCCAGGGGATCTGATTCCCTCTTATGGTATCTGCTGCCATTGCACACATATGGTGCAGATACATATATGCAGGCAAAACACTCAAACATATAAAGTAAAAATAAATACTCTTAAAAGAGGAATGCTATTATGATTTGTCTGTTGTTCCCATGAAGTTGTTTTGTCTCCCTCTTGGGCAAATCATTGAAATTAAAAATGTAGACTATGAACCTGATTAGTGTATAGGATTGCTATATAAAATGTATAATGGCAGATACTTGTGTCTATTTCAGAATTCATAAAATCCCACTCAGAGTATGAATCTCAAGTTGTGTCTGAAACTGAACCAGGTAAGTTGCCATTCATTTAAACACCTTCACATTAATGCCTCTTAAAGGTTCTACAACTTCCCAAATTACCACCACCCACTGGGGACCAAGTATTCATGTACATGGGCCTGTGGGGGACATTCTCCTTCACACCACCACAGTAAGAACTTCTCTGTTCTTGCTGCTTTTGAGATTTTGTCTGGTTTTTGTTGTGGTTGTTATTGTTCACTTGTTTTTAAGACAGGGTCTCATGTATCCCAGGTTGGCCTCAAACAACAGCTTAGTATCCTTGAAGCTCTTTCTGTTGTCTGTGTACTAGTTTGCAGGAGTGTGCTCAGATCTCCACACTCAGTCCTGTCACACTCACCCCACATACACATCATGCACAACCACACAGCGGTAACACAAATGTTAAATTATATGTGATTTGGTATCTTATCAATTTTAGAATATTTGTAGTCTTTATCAATTCACATGTTTCTTTCATTTCCTCCTTTGTCACTGCTTATCCCTATAAGGCATATATCACACTTTAAAAAAAAAAAAAGAACTTGTCTCATGGATTTTGAATACAAAATTGCATTTTTAAACTCATTTGCTTCTCTAGGGAGTTTCCAATGACAGTTGCATGCTCACTGACTTTTTTTAAGCAAGGTGCTTTAATGGTTTGCAAAATACCTGTAAGAATTATCTAACAGAGGCAGGTGGATCACTGTGAGTTTGACTGCCAACCTGGTCTACAAGAGCTAGTTCCAGGACAGCCTCCAAAGCCACAGAGAAATTCTGTCTCACAAAATATATATATATATATATATATATGTGTGTGTGTGTGTGTGTGTGTGTAGGTTGTTTCCAAAGGATTCCAAGTGCGTAATCCTATTTTTTTTGTCCTGAAAGTAGCCATAGGGAAGGCATATTTATTAGTCAACAATAGAATATTACCTGGTTATTATGAAGATCAAAACAGCACACACAGATTAGAATACATGGTGACTGGCACAATGCAAATTCTCCTAAAAGAATAAAGTGATTATTCTACTTATTTATTTTTATTGACTGCCTTGTCAGTCACAAGGCATGCTTTATTACAGTGTTGTAGAACATTAGCATTTCTTTTTACTTACTTGTTAAAGTTTATGCTCATATTGTTTAAAATTCCTGCCTGATAATGTAAAAATGCTTGCTGTGTCTGAATCCTGTGCTCACAATTACTTATCTCTTCAGACTGTGTTTTTGCCTCTGAGTATGCCTTGTATTATAACTATTTCCTGTTGGAAGCCAGAGATGACGTATAGGATAAAATAAAATAAGGTAGTTGTGGTTGAAAGTATCATGTCACCTCCTTATGCTCATTTAGTTTCCCCTTCTCCGTCACTGAGTTGTATGATCATATAACTTCAGCCATTATAATACCTTTATGTTTTTTGTAATAGAAACTCCTTATTCAGTGACTGATCGGATGAATGTGATGATTAAAATATTTGAAAATCAGACAAATATGTTAGAAAGGTAAGCTTTGAAAGTAATTATTTCTTATTTTCTACTTATAAAACTGAGTTCATAGAATAGAAACATTGGGACCATAGATAAGAAATAAAGCCCTCATCAAAAACTGACCTTTTCAGGAGGGAGGGCCTAGTCCCTACTCCAAATGACTTGACAGATTTTGTTGACCCCTCCTGGAAGGTATCACCCTCCCTGTGGAGTTGTGGGGGAGAGGAATGGGAGGGTGGTCGGGGGCATGGGTTAGGGAGGGAGGGAGGCAAAGAGGAAGGAGGGAAGGAGAGGAAACTGGGATCAATATGTAAAATAAGAAAAGTAAATAAGTAAATAAAAGCTTACCTCTTAATGGATGTATGTATCTATGTATACATGTATGTATGTGTGTGCATTTATGTATGTATATGCCACTGCATCATGCTGGTCATTGATGTGGTTATTGGACATCATAGCTGGGTGGGACTGTTGGTTGATTCTCTCCTTAGGAAGCACATGATGCCTTTGGTACCATGAAAACCAGTCTTCAGGGAGAGGCCATCCAAGTCAGTTCCATCTCAGAGGTCTCTGAGTCTTGTCTCTGAAGTGCACGGTATCCTCAGCATTAGGAGCTTAACTTTACCTCTGAGGTACAACCAAAGGCAGCAGCAATAGGAAATAGGCTTGGGAAGTCATTTAACCATGACCAACAACTCAAAAGAAGAATTCTCACATCTGCTATTGGGGTTTTGTTAGGTGGTCTTAGGCTCTTGGAGGGAGCACCATAAGCCCAGATGAGAAAACTTTATGGAAACTATATATGTAAACGTGCACTATAGGTTTTTAAGGTAGATAGTTAATGGTATGTTTCCTTGTGGCTTTTTCAGCCATTGGCGCTATTTTATATGTCTGCCTTTATTTGCTATATTCACCTCCCTCCCCCTTCCATAAGGAACCTGATCTTACTACTTTTCCCTTATCAAGTCAATTTGCCCTTTACCATCCTCCCACATTCTTCCTTCCCTCTTCCTCCCTAAGGAGCTATGTCTTCCCATTTCTGTTATCAGATCTCTTGTATCCTACCATTCCCCTTTTCCCTCCTCCCACCTTCTCCTCTAAAAACCATTTGTCAGTTGTAGGACATGTAGTTTTTTTCCCTATTTCCTAGCAATTGTAAATAGAGAAGCAATGAATATGGCTGAGCAAGTGTCTGTGAAGTATGATATAGAGTCAGTCCTTTGCGTGTATGTCAAGGAGTGGGCCATATGGTACATCTTTGTTTAGCGTTTGGAGAATTTCTTAGATTTCTCCACACTGGATTCCATAGGGGCTGCACTAGTTTGCAATGCTACCCCACAGTGGATGAGGGTCACCCCGCCAACCCCCTGGCATCCCCTCCAGCATTTGTTGTCTGTTGTTGTATTGATGTTTGCCATTCTGATTCAGGTAAAATGAAATATCAAAGTTCTTTTTTATTTGCATTTCCTTAATAGCTAGGGATTATGGGCATTTTTTTGAGAACTTTCTGGCCATTTTAATAATTATGGCTTTGTATTTTTTGTCATATGCTGTATTCTTTCCTCTCTTCGGCCCAAACTAATGCTTCCTGTATTTTCCCTCATCAATGACTATATTTTGAAGGCAGTTCTTTTCTTTTTTATAGTGTCCAACATTTCCTGTGTGTTGTTTGTTTAATTTTTCATGTACTTTTGTTTGGCCTAGATCCTCTATTTTATCTTTGAGACCTGACATTCTGTCTTCTACCTGATTCATTCTATTTATCCAACTTTCCTTTAAGTTTTCTAGTTGGGCTGTTGGGTTTTTCAGTTTTGTCTCCATGTCAGCTGGTGTCCTCTTGGGTGTTCCTATATTCTATTCTGTTCTGAAGCCTTAGACTGTCGCCATCATGTCCATCAGAATGTTTGTGTTTCCGTGGGCATCATTTGGGAATTTATTCTCCATAACATGTTTCTCTTTGCTTTCACTGAACTGTTTCCTTGTGTCTTCTTGAACACCTTTAATTCTTTGAAGAGGTTTATGATTATTCTTTTAATGTCTGTGTCCTTGGATTCATCTAGTGCAGTGGCTCTCAACCTTCCTAATGCTTTGACTCTAATACAGTTCTTTATGTTGTGGTGACCCCAACCATAAATTATTTTCCTTGCTATTTCATAACAGTAATTTTGCTTCTGCTATGAATCATAATGTAAGTATCTGTGTTTTCCCATGGTCTCGGGCAACCCCTGTGAAAGGGTCATTTGATCCTTAAAGGGGTTGTGACTTACATATTAAGAACCACTGGTCTAGGGTATTTGTTGTGAAGGCCACCCAAAGGGTCCTGGGTGTGGATGCAGGTAGGGAGGGTACTGGCAGGATTCCAGATGTTGGAGGTTGTGAACCTAGACAGGGGAGGCTGTTAGAAATCTTTAAGAAGAAAAAGTAAATGTGTTCTATAACTAAAAATATGTGTGTATTTATTATACTATGGTTACTTTTGGTCTGTTTTTTCAGAGCTTTAAATGATCAGAGTATAATTGAGACTGTAAGTATAATGCTCTTAATTTGATATTCTACTTTGTCCTTGATTTTTTTTAAACCTTCAATTGTATTGAGTTTTATTTTATGTACATTTGCATATGCCTGAGGACAGGTATGCCCCCACTTGTATGCAAATGCCACAGAAGAGGGCATTGGATCCCCTGGACCTGGAGTTAGAAGCAGTCATGAGCTGGCAAATGTGGGTCCTAGAAACCAAACCCTGGTCCTCTGTAAGAGCAGCAAGTGCTTAAGTGTTAAACCATCTCTCCAGCTCCTCAAATAAGGTTTTTGACATTGACAGTTTTACTCAGAATGTGAAAAAGCAAGAACAATGCCAAGTCTTGTCACAATGTGATCTCAATAACAAAAGGAAAATACATATAACAAAGAAAAGCATCTGAAGGAGAGACAGATCCTGGTGGAAGGAAGCTATTCCTGACAGGGCCATAACACTGTAGAATGAAGGGGCCCGAGAGGCTAAAACCCTCATGCTTCTCCACATATAGGTATAGAAAGAAAGCAAAAGACTCAATCTATAGAGCTTCTAATTGTGGGTACCACTTACTGTAGGCAAAACTCCAAAAGAATCTTATATCTGTAATACAGGAAATCATAGATTAATCAACCTCTCTCAGTCTCCCAGGTCTGTCCCTGCAGTATTTAACTGCCCATGTGGTAGAGAACTCTGTCTGCTTATCTTCCCAAGCAATGGCAGTCTGTAAAAGGCCAACTGGCTTCATACCTATGTCAAAAAAGATTGCCAAACCTTGCAGGATTCTCTCTCTCTCTCTCTCTCTCTCTCTGTCTCTCTCTCTCTCTCTGTCTCTCTCTCTCTCTCTCTCTCTCTCTCTCTCTCTCTCTCTCTCTCTCTCTCTCTCTCTCTCTCTCTCTCTGGTCTATTTGAAATCCTGTTTGGTGAGAGAAAGAAAAGCCTTAACTAAGTAATAGAAGTCCTAGAGTTGTTGTAGAGGAATTTGATAAATTTCCTGTTCCTCGGGGCTCCATCACTGTTCTCTGTACACTGGGCATCCATGATAAGTAATCTTGATTGTCTACTTACCAGATCTAGAGTCACTTAGGTGAAAAACCTCTCGGCATATCTGTGAGAGAGTTTCTAGATTGGGCAAATTGACATAGGAAGGCTCATGCTGAGTATGGGTACCAGCTTCCCATACGCTGGGGTCCCCGACCAAATGAAAATGAAGAAGTGAGCTGAGCACTAGCATTCGCATCTCTGCTCCTGATGTGAACATGTGACCAATCTCCCCATGCTCCTGAAGCCATAACTCTCTTAGTAAAGGCAAAGTTCTATTATAAAGCTTTTTCAGATAATTATTGAAGAAGTGGCCTTTACACATAGTACATTCGTTAAAATTTTAGCAGTACAAATATACTTAAATCCCTAAATGCAAGCTCCATAAGCCAAGCTTTCACTCATTAATATTTACTGTTCATATCAAAAGGGTGTGTCTGGACTTTTCCTCTACATGTTCATACTCAGAGGGCTGTAAAATGAACTGAGTAACCTGATATATTTCAAAAGATTTTTTTCATCAAGCAAAATAACAAAACTCTGTGTGTGTGTGTGTGTGTGTGTGTGTGTGTGTGTGTGTGAAGCAAAAGAACAAAACTGTGTGTGTATGTGAGTATGTGTGTGTGTGTGTATGTGTGTTATGTTCATGGGCAGGTTTGCACGTGTGTGTATAAGCCTGTGGAGGTCTACATTAAGTGTCCCCCTCTGTTACTTTCTGCCTTGTTTGTTGTCCTTGATTTTTAAAGAGACTCCACAAATTACCCTTTTCTATTGTTGTAATTAGAGGTTAGCACTCACTCAGCTCATCCAGCTTATCTGGGCTCATGAACTAGAAAGTGTTGCATGTTCCTTTCACTTTCTAGACATTATGGTCACTCATACTAAACTGGAAGTTCCTGCGAATCTAGCTGTATCAGTCTCAATGGCGGCTTAGCATTAATGCTAGTGACTCATTCTTTTCCTGCTTTAGTGAAGTTAGCCTTACATTAGTAACTAAGCATTGAAACAAACCTTATCAAGATTCCTCGTTTTAATTAGAATTACTTCATTTGTCTTTAGAAATATAAACAGATGGAAACTGATTTTCAACTATTATTATTGGAGAAAACCCTACTAGAAAATGAAATACAGAAGATGAAAAGTCCAGAGGTTAGTACATACAAGTGATAAAAATGCCTTCTAGTACCTGATAAGGTCTGGTATCATACAGATAGGAATCAAAGTGACATTTACTTGTTTTATGACATGTTTTAATTATTGTCAAAGACTTATTTTCAATTTAAGGTCCCAAGAGCAGGCAAAATGTGTCAGAGACAAGCCCCAATCCCACAAAAACTCCAAGCTAAACAATGTGTGTGTGTGTGTGTGTGTGTGTGTGTGTGTGTGTGTGTGTGTGTGTGTGTGTATGCATGCAGAGGACCTAATGCAGACTCATAGACTCATGAAGACAGGCTCCAAGATTGTCACTACAGTCTCTGTGATCCCCTATAAGCCATGGTTAGTTCCTGTGGGCTGTGTTCTCATAGTGTCCTTGACCCCTCCGGCTCCTACAGTCCTTCCTCCCTGAGTTCTGCATAATGCTTGACTGTGAGTCTCTGCATCTTCTCCTGTCAACTGCTGGATGAAGCCTCTGTGATGACAGTTTGGCCAGGCACTGATCTGGGAGTATAGCAGAATATCATTAGGATTTTTTTTTTTTTTTTGCTTCTACTCTAGGAATCTGGGCCATCCTTCCTGCTTCTCGTTCCCAACCATCCAGGCAGTGTCTGGCATGGACTCCCAAATTAGACCAGTCACTGGTTGGCCATACGCACTAGCTCTTAGCCACCATGTCCCCCAGCACATCTTACAGGCAGGACAGGTTGTGGTTCAAAGGTTTTGCGACTGCATTGATATCCCAGTCCCACCACTGGAAGCCTTGCTCGTTACAGAAGATGGCTGGTTCAGGCTCCATATCCTCCATTACTAGGAACCCTCACTAGCGTCGCCTTACAGGATCCAGGAAATTTCCTCTGTACTAGGCTTTCACATTGGTCCTTAAGTGTCCCCCTTCCTATTCTAGTCTCTCACCATACTCTCTCCCTCAGTCCCTCCCTTCCCCATTTGATCCCTCCTTTTCCAATCCCCGCTCACCCCCAGTCTACCCACAAAATCTATTCTATATCCACTTCCCAGGAAGATATATGTGTTGCCACTAGAGCCTTCCTCCTTACTTAGCCTCGCGTATGTAAATTATAGAATGATTATCCTTTATTTAGCAGCTAAATTCACTTATGAGTGTGAGTATAAAAGGGAATTTTTATTAACCAGTTAAATCATTGCTTGTATAGCTGAAAGCAAACACTCTCCTTTTGGATTTTTAGAAATCTTTTTCTTACACTGTATAGCAGGCTAGCCAAGAGTTCACATTAATCCATCTGCCTTAGTCTCCCAAGTGCTAGGAAATCAGGCATGGACCATTGTACCATGGAGTACTCTTGAACCCACTTTTGTTGGTAACTTTATATTTTTTAATACTGGAGGAGAAAGTAGAAATTATTTTCCATCAGTTCCCTCTCATTACTTAATATTTATTGATCTACAATATGTATGAGTTTTCATAGGAAACATCTCCAAATGCACACTAGGTTGCTTGGGAATATAATAGTTCTCATTAAAATTCATTACCATCCTTCCATATGTCTGTGTTTTTTATTGTTGATGTTCTCGTTGAAAAAGACCTTAAATCTCTGATCCTACTACCTTCACCTCCCAAGTGTTGGGCTTACAGATCAGCACCACTGTATCTAACCCACCCCACCCCAGTCCAGCCCCCCTCCCTTAAGATTAAAGTTTCACGGTGTAGCCCTGGCTGGCCTCGAACTCACAGAGATCTGCTTTCCTCTGACCCTTGAGTACTGGGATTAAAGGTGTGCACCACCACCTGGCTGTAACTTTTTATTTCTGAGGAATTATTTCACCTATGTTTATCTTATGTTTACCACGATAGTACATTTGTATACACTGGAATTTTTTTAATATAAAATAATCATATACTGACTTTGTTTTCACTACTTTCTATAATTTTAATAATTATCAAAAATTCTTTCTCTACATTCATATGTAAAATTATCTGGTCCTTCAGAAAAAATCAAGAATATTTTGCCTAGGCTTGCAGATGTATACCTGCAGTTCTACCATTTGAGTAGCTGAGGCAGGAGGATCATGAGCTCATGTATAATCTAGAATGCTTAAATCCTCTTTAAGAAATGCTTTAATGCTTGTGTTCAGATATGTTATAATGATGGTTTTAAGACACAATTTTTTACCAAGCGCATTACACAATTTAGTGTAATTTGAATTTCACTTCGGTGTGTGTACCATTTTACTGGAATAAACAGTAGGAATAGGTGAAGGCAACTCAATGATTCTCAACCTACAAAGTCACACATAAGCCATGTCTGGTGTTCCAATTTCCTTTGCAGTCTCAGGTAAACCTGTTTCACTTCAGATTCAACCTCTAAACATGGGCTTTCAGGTCTCCTTCAGGACAAGGGGCTGTATCTTCTCAATAAACGTGTGTATTCTGAGTTATTCACCTTGGTTTTTAAATGTATCATTGGTGGTATATTTGCATGATGTCATCCTAACACATTTCTCCACGACCCGCTAGCTCTGCTGCAAGTAGCACATAATGAGGAGTCTTCTTAGGCCACACCATAGCATAACTGGAAAACTGTGAGAGGAAATTAATTACTTCAGTATACGAAATTACACAAAGGATAGCAAGATCAGTAGTGAGTATAGTGATTACTGCACAAGCATGAGAAGCTGAATATGACCCAGCACCCACGTTAGAAAAAAAAAACAGAAAGAAAGAAAGAAAGAAAGAAAGAAAGAAAGAAAGAAAGAAAGAAAGGAAAAAAAACTGAGCTCAGTGGTGCACCTGTAACCCCAACATTGGGGCATATAGTTGGCCAGATTCCAGGAGCTTGCTGGCCAGCCAGTCTAGCTGAAATGGTGAACTCAATGTTAAATGAAAGACTGTGTCTCAAAAACTAAGATAGAGAGCAATAGAGGAAGACCTCTGACTTCTACAGAGACATGTATGTGCAACTTCAGCCACTCCATCTCTTTTTAAGTATAAATAGAGACAGCATAGGTATATCACTAGTTCTGCTTTTTCAGATAATTTCCCCTGAAGTAGTGGAGTGACTTTCAGAGTGAAAAGGAATTCCCCATAGCGTATACTGCCATGCATCTCTTATAACTTACGTTGTTCTTACTTTGATGTGTTCAAAACTATACAGAAAGCAAAGCCTACAAGCAAAGAAGATCGAACCAAGAAGCCCACAAAACCAGAAAAGAAAAAAGATAAAGACTCAGAAAGGTAAGGCATGAAGTTATGTGATCTTTTCCTTCCTTGGTAACTCATACTTTAATTTTCACAATTTAAGATTGAAAAATAAAAAAGTACCTTATTCATAGATTTTTTTTTAAATAATAAAATTGGCAAGAACATAGTTTTATAATCAGACCAGGATATGGCTGGGAAAAGCCAAGAAAGAAAGAACAAGAAACTGCTAGAAGCTTAGAGGTTGTGTGTGTGAACCTGAAGAGTTAAGCATGGGGACAACAGATTGAGATTTTTAAACAAATGTCACAAGGAAAGCTTTGCACTGAGTCTGCCTCGTGCTCCAGGCTCTCAGACTCCTTAAATCAGTTGTCCAGAATTTGTTCTCTTTAACTGCAGGTTTTAGGTTATGCTCAGTTTTATTTAAAAAAAAAAAAAAAGCAAACAAATAATTACCTATTTTTATGAATGGATTATTGTAAAGTGATTATTACTAAGTGAATTGATAAGTGAATATAAGTATTATAAATTGGTGATTATAATTCAAATTTGCTTGGCATTTCTTATTTACAATAAAGTTTTTGAATGAGCCTATGAATTCACTGTTTATAGAGAGCTTTTTGTTTCCAGAAAGAAATGCATTAGACCAAAAACAAAACAAAACAAAACAAAATTGTCCTTTGATGAAGAATAGTAGTCAGGAAAGAAAAATACTCGATACTTTTTCAAAATCTCAGACATTTCACCTTTTAATCATCCCCTTGAAAAGTTGGCTGGAAAAGTCATTCATTTGTTTACCAGTTAAGCCATATGGCTTGAATGACTATTTTAATGTGTGAGGCCCCAGGAGGCAGCTCAGCAGGTAAAGCACTTGCTGCTTAAGCCTGACAACCTGACTTTGACCCTGGCATCCCACATAAAAAGCCTGACGCAGCATGGCTCATGTGGCTCATGGCTATAGTCCCAACACCATCCTGGGGAGATGGGACATAGGAACAGGTCATGTATGCAGTGCAATGGAGGAAACAAGAGACCCTGCCTCAAACACAAGGTGAAAGTCAAGAAATGGCTTTTTAGAAATAAAAGAGGCTCTCACTTTCAAAAAAAAAAAAAAAAAAGATTGTCCTCCAACCTCCAAGTATATACTTTGAAAGGAGCCTGAGCGTCCTCCCTGCCCCTCCCTCTCTCCCCCCCTCTGTCTCCTCTCTCTCTCTATCTTTCTCTCTCTTTCTCTCTCTCTCTTTTTGTGTGTTAAAGGCATGTATTTTTTGTAAGACTAAATGGTCTAAAGTCCTAGGGAAAGCAAAGCAATGTAGTGATGTGTTTTCATAAATCATGATAGACTTTTTAATGTTTTTAATTGCAGGAAGTTGTCTCCAGCCAGAGAAGTTGAACTGCTTCAAATCCAAGTAAGATACATGCTCTCTGAGTCTATATAGTTCTGTTAATATTTATACAAAATAACCTTCTACCTGTCACTTCTGATTTGCCTCTGAAGAGCTTCATTTCCATGGCTCACCTGACCTGTTGGAGGTCTGACCTCCTCTGAGGTGGCTGAGTCACTTCAAAAGCCTGACTGTTTCCGGCCTCTTTGTCATGTGTTTCTTTAGTTTCTAGGTCATGCTGAGATCCTGGATTGGTGGTTAGAGGTTTGTTTGCTCTTGGTCTCCACTGTTACTTGGTTTTGTTTTAGTTGAAATTGTTTCCTGTCTGATTTTCAGTAAGAAGAAAAATATAGATTTCAAACTTTTTCTTAAAATAATTGTTTTAGTGAAAGAGATTTGTAGGCTTTTGTTTTACACTTTAAAGATTCTTTTTTATTTCTATTTGACTTTCCTGTGTGTTGTTTGAGGGCTTTCTTCTTCTCCTCCTCCTCCTCCTCCTCCTCCTCTTCTTCTTCTCCTTCTTCTTCTTTTCTTCTTCTTCTCTGTTTTATTGTTTCCAACAGTTTGGTCTTGTCACATGGGTACATGTCTGTTCTTAACACACTGAGTTGGCATATGCTTAGCATTTTTGAGTATGCAACTTTTGCCAAGGTTTCAAACATGTTCTGCTTCTTTCTGTTCCTGAAAAAAAAAAACATACAGTTGAGTGGTAGAAATCCAACATCACTCTATGTGCCCCTCATATGCTTGTACAAGGTTCATCTCTGTAGTTCCATATTTCACATTGATATGCCTAAATGTTTTCACCTTTTCATTGTCCTATCCAACTTGCCATTCTGTCCACACATTCAGTTTTTAAACCATGATTAATTGTTGATACTACAGTTGTTGGCATTTGCCCATTTATTATAGTTTTTGTGTTTGACAAAATCTCTGCCAATTCATTCATAGACATATTGGGCACTGTCATAATGGCTGCTTTTAAAGTGTTTTATGGTGATCCTAAAGTTGGGACAGTCTTGGGATCTCTTTCTTGGTTTCTTTTGCCTTAATAATAAGTCCACTTTTCCAGATTATGCACATTGTTTTGTGTGTCTTGTGAGTAATGTGTTGAAACTCTTGAGATCTGCCGTGTCCAAAAGGCCTAGTATTTTTTTTTTTTTTTTTTTTTTTTAACTATTGTATAATGAACATGGTTGGGTGAGTATAGAAATTATATACCTGTCTAGCCACTCTTTTTATTCTTTGTATTTTTCCAGGTCTTTGAGAGTGTATAGTTCAGAGGTCAGAGAGAGGCTTGGACAGATTTGATACAAAATTATTAAGCCCTTGCCTTTGGTTTTCTCCTTCCTGTGGCTTCCACTGAGCCTTTCATGGTTGGGATTGTCCCAAACTTTGTCCTGTTTGTAAGTTATAAATATGACAGTGGTTTTCTGTAAGCTCTTGAGTACCTAATACTACTCAAGTAGGTCTTGCTCCCAAACTGAAGGCCTTGAGAACAGGAATCCTACCCAGGCCTCCTTTTCCTACAGGGATCACTTACTCTGGTTGGCTCTCTTCAGCACATAGTATACAGTGGTTGGATGATTGTCCTCGAGGGGCTTGATGTGACACATGAAAGGCACACATAGGGCTTTAGATACGGTTCTCAAACCATCATCCATTGTAGGTTTTCTGAATGTGTAACTTACCAATTTCTGCTAATCCTGGACCTTATGTTGAAACTGGAGATTCTTCTAGCAACATTTCAAACATTTCCATTTAAATATCTCAGACCTGAAGAAAGTGAGAAATGAAATGCTTCATTATAGTAGTTGTAATCAACAAGATTCATGGTAATCATGTGTGTGAGAAATCAACAAGAGGCTGTAGCATCAGGTGATATCTACCACTGCGTAGGAGAACTTTGGAGTTAGTGTTCAGCTCACCATACTGTTGGTCCGTGGATTCGAGACATGTAATAACCACAGAAAGTAAATATGAAAAGTACCAGAGTGAATGTTACTCTCTTTCGACTCCGTAGAAAGAAGCAGAATCACTGAAGATGGAGAAGAAAGCTCTTCAGGAACAACTGAAATGGGCTTTGCAGGTAAGTGGCACACCTCTAAATGACAGCAAGCAAAGAGGATGACTAGTGGGGGATTTCTAAACTTTGATCTTATAAACTGAGTGTGTGATCATATACAGACACACTCAGATTATATACAGACACTAGACCTGCATATACACGTATATGCACAGTACATTGCTGCATACAACCATTTATGAATATGAATGCATTAAATAGGACATAATGTTGATTTTCATCGAAAGCAGCAATCCAGAAAGAAAATAAGCAAGCAGTATCCTTCAAACTGCCGGTACACAATTTACTTGAACGTAAAATACTAACAACTCAGAGAAGAAGGGGCTTCAGCATCTTCAAAGTGCTTATTGGTCTTGTTGAGTACTGGAGCTTGGTTCCTAGCCCATGTCCAAAGGCCCACAACAGCATTTAACCCCAGTGCCAGAGGATCTGATGCCCTTTACTGGAGTCCATGGGAAATTGCACAAAAATGTGCACATTCCACACTCAGATGCCTATACACATGGATAAGGAAGGAAGAGAGGGATAGAAGGAGGAAGAGAGGGAGGGAGAGAGGGAGGAAGGGTGTTAGGGAGTAAGGAAGAGAGTGAGGGAGGGAGGGAGAGAATAAGGGAGCGAAGGGAGTGACTCTTGTTGTTCCAATTAAAGTTAATAAGATGATTTAGGACACCACTTAATAAAAGTACACAGAGAGTTCTTTTTGAAGGGTCATAGATGAAGAGTGAAGAAACATAAATTTTCCAGTTTGATGGTTTTATATTACCAGTATTTCTTTTTTTTTTTTTTTTAATGTTCTCTCTCTATCTCTCTCTCTTTCTGTCTTCTATTCCTACCCTGACTCAATCTTCCTAGTTGCATGTGCTTTCCTCTCCTCCCCTTCTCTTTCTCCTACTTCTCTCTTCATTCACTGCCCCACACTTCCCATGTGCTCTGGGGGACTTGTCCCTTCCCCCTTCTGTGAGGGACTTTATATGAATCTCTTAGAATACACCTTGTATCCTAGTTCCTCTGGTGGTGGGAATTATACGTTGGTGATCTTTAGCTCTAGGTCTAAAATCCATATAGGAGCGAGTAAATACCATGTTCCTCTTTTTGTGACTGGGTTACCACATTCAGGATGGTTTCTTCAAGTGCCATCCACTTGTCTGAAAATTTCATGATTCCATTATTTTTTTCTGCAGAGTAGTATTCCATTGTGTAGATGTACCACATCTTCTTTACCCATTCTTCAGTTGAGGGGCATCTAGGTTGCTTCCAGGTTCTTGCTATTACAAATAGTGCTGCTATGAACATAGTTGAGCACATGTCTTTGTTGCATGGATATGGATCATTTGGGTATATGCCTAAGAGGGGGATTGCCAGGTCCTGTGGTAAACTAATTCCCATTTTCCTGAGGAACCACCATGCATCTCCAAAATGGCTGTACGAGTTTGCACTCCCACTAGCAGTGGAGGAGTGTTCAGTTGTCATTGGTGTTTCTAATTTTAGCCAACTTTGAGCTGGGCTTCCTCACCTTTCTCTATGCCTAATATTTTTAGGTTTGGCCTTTTCACGGTGTCCCACATTTCCTGGATGTTTTGTGTTAAGGATTTGTTGGATTTACGATTTTCTTTGGTCGATGAATCTATTTCCTCTAGTTTATCTTCTGCGCCTGAGATTCTCTCTTCCATCTCTTGAATTCTGTTGGTTATGCTTGGGTCTATAGTTCCAGATCATTTGCCCAGTTTTTCTATTCCCAGCATTCCTTCGGTTTGTGTTGTCTTTATTTTCTCTATTTCAGTTTTCAGTTCTTGAACCGTTTCCTTTACCTGCTTAATTGTTTTTTCTTGGCTTTCTGTACTTTCTTTATTTTCCTTAAGAAATTTGTTCATTTCTTCCACTTTTTTGTTTGTTTTTCCTCCATTTCTTTAAGGGACTTTCTCACTCTTCTTTGAGGGCCTCTCTCATTTTTATGACAGTAATTTTTAAGTAATTCCCTTCTACTTCATCTGCTTTGTTGTGTTCCGTTCTAGTTGGTGTAAATTCTCTAGATTCTGGTGGTGTCATGCTTGTCTTTCTGTTGTTAGGTGTTTTCTTGTATTGTCGTCTTCACATAGCTTCTTCCAGCAGGTGTTAGTGGGGTCTCTCCCTCTCTCTATGGTACTTCCCCATTCAGCTTAGGTGGGTCAGAGGTTCCATGTCTGCAGCTCTGTGTGGTCCAAGCTTTCTAGGAGGTCTCTCCACAATCAGGGGCCCGGGGATGGGGGTCAGAGATCAGGCTCCAATAGAAGATTGGCGATGGGGGTCAAAGATCCCAAAGGCTGGGACTCAGGATGTTCCTTAGGCCTATAGGCAGATCTAGCCTGGGCCTGCCACTCTCCAGCTGAAGCCTCTTTTGCAGAGTCCCTGTGGGGGGGGGGGAGGGTTTCAAGGATTCTGCAGGCAGGAACTCAAAGTGGTCCCACAGAGATAGGTGGCTCTCTGGGAGGGGCCCAGAACTCCAGTAGAGGACTGGTGGGGGTGGGGGGATCAGAGACCAGGCAGGTGGAAATTAGGGGTGGTCCTGAGTGGATAGGCAGGTCTCGTGTGTTCAGAGCCGCTCCCGGAAGTTCCCCGAAGGTGTCTGGATTTTTGGCTCCACCCTATGTCCCAGTGCTCAACCAGAGCTGTGGGATAGTGGGCCAGGTAGGGCACAGCGTAGGGGGAGGGCAGGCTCTCAGTGGGGGGTAGGTGGGGGTGTATCAGATCTCCAAGAGAGCTCTCAATAGGGACAGGACACATGGGCAGGGGGATCCGGGGCCAACTCAGGGAATTACTGGGGAAGGGTATAGGGGAGAGTCCACTGAATTGGTCCCAGACTCACCTCTAGCCAAGGCCTGGCGATAGGGGACAAAGGCAGGGCTAATATTCAGGATGTTTCTGCACTGATAGGCAGATCTAGCTGGGACCTGGCACTCTCCAGCTCAGGCCTCTTTAGCAGATGGGGGTCAAGGATCCTGCTGGCCATATTACCAGTATTTCAATGTATCATTTTTCTCAAATTGATACATAGGCATAAAGAATTCTGCTCATGTGTGCAAATGTAGGTATTGTTGAGCAAAAGAAAACTGCTGTCAAGATGTAAAGGGTTAGGGTCAGGCAAAAGAACAGTTGAGTTGATCCACATCCAACATGATTGTGTACTGTAAGGTTATGGAGATGACAGTGCTTCCACTTCTGGTTCTGAATGTAAAGCAGGAATACATTCAAATTAATATGATAATATAGTATTTAGTGATTTTTAGTACTAACAGTTCTTATGGAAGGATAAAGTAGTCACATGGAGAAAACATTTCGGGGGGAAAATAGGCTAAATACAGTACTGATTGTTTTAAAGTACCAGAGTTACAAGTGACCATTAATGATAATTGAGTAATATATGGTTGGCTGGCCACAAGAGTGTCCAGTGTGGGCTGCACATATCCCAAGGTAGCACTGAAAGTGATGACAACATCCTGTCATTGTCTGTTTTAGTTTGCTTTCTGTTGCTGTGATAAAACACTCAACAAAAGCAACCTGGGGTGGAAAGGATTTGCTTGGCTTACATGTCCTGATCATGGAGGGAAGTCAGGGCAGGAGCTCAAGCAGAGGCAGAGGCAAGAGCCATGGAGGGAAGCTGCTTACTGTCTTGCTTGCTGTTTTTGCTCAGCTGGCTTCCTGGGACCACCTACCTAAGGGTGGCCCGACTCAAAGAAAAAAAACTGAGTCCTTCTATATTAATCATTCATCCAGAAAATGTCCCACAGGAATTCCCACAGGCCAATCTGATGGAGACAGTTCCTCAGCTAAAGTTTCCTCTCCCCAGGTGACTCTAGTTATGTCAAAACGACAGAAACTAAATGTCACACTGCCAAAAAGGCAGACATCCTGGCAGAGCCAGCCTTTCTAAGCATTATTACCCAAAAGGAACATGTTCATGAATTTGAGCTTACTAAAGTAAGAACTTTTAAATTTTTATTTACCTACTTTATGTGTTTGGGTGTTTGTGTGTATATCTGTGTGCCATGTGCATGCAGTACCCTCAGAGGCCTGAAGAGGGTGCCAGATCCCCTGGAGCTGGAGTCAATCAGGTGTGAGCCACCATGTGAGTGCTAGAAATTAAACCTAAGGCCTCTGGAGGGGCATCCAGTGCTGTTACCTGTCTAGACATCTCTCCAGCCTCCCCTAAATTTATAACCTGAATTTATGGTTAGAGTTGTCCTAAATCTTGTTCTCTGGTTTGTAAGTTATAAGGGCCTAGGTTTTCTAGGTATTAGTTGCTCTCATGCTTCACCCCAACTGTAAGCCATGAAAAAATGAGATCATTCCCAGATAAACATACAGTGTAGGTAGGACCAAGAATTTTATATAAAGATATTTCATAAACCTCCCTGAAATATACAAGAAACACAAATAGGCAAATTGTGATTCAGAGACAAACATGCTCGATAAAACACAGAAATATAAATCTCTATCTTGTTATTTATTGAATCTCACTTTAACAATAGGTACTAATTACCTACAATTTTGTTAAAACTTAAGGAACAGAAACACCATATATTTGTGGATGTATGCCAAAATAAATAATATTTCCCATATTCCTATCATATCAGCATGAAATGTTACATGCAGTGAAAGTCTTGGAAAAAATGTAGCCATTTCATTTATTAAGTTCACTTTTTTGTTTGTTTGTTTGTTTGTTTTGTTTTGTTTTTTTATTTTCGAGACAGGGTTTCTCTGTGTTGCTTTGGAGCCTGTCCTGGAACTAGCTCTGTAGACCAGGCTGGCCTTGAACTCACAGAGATCCACCTGCCTCTGCCTCCTGAGTGCTGCACTTCTAAATGTTTATTCTAAAGAAAATATTGTACAGAAAATTTCAACTAAGATATAATGAATCATGAATTTTAATAGAAAAAGGTTTGAAATGACCAAAACACTCACTGGTAAAATATTTGCAAATTAAATAATGTCAGGTTACTAAATATATTCTGTTACCTATTCTTGTGAATCTAAAGTTTGTTGTAAAAATATGACATTTTAATGTAAATACTATATTATATGTATATAGCATAATATAGTATACATAAAACCAAAATGTACATCCATAAACATACCAGAGAATTTTTTTTAATTTGATGAGGGTTTGTGTGTGTGTGTGTGTGTGTGTGTGTGTGTGTGTGTGTGTGTGTGTGTGAATTTCCTTTTTCTTTTCCTTTGTGGAGCAAATTCTGACCCTTAGTGTTGTAAGTACTCCCTTTCTGGGGTGCCGTTGCTCATCATGACCTTGAAAATCGAAACTTTGGAAAATGCCTGGGCTTTGTTTTAAATATGGAAGGCCTTTATTATTATTTTTTTTCCCCAGCCTGCCAATAGCTTTCATTAATTCTATTGTAAAGCTGTTGAGCTATAGCAGACCATTTAATTTAGCTTCCTCAGATCAGTTAGAGAAAATGTTGGTGTCGATGTAAATTCCGGGAAGATGCACTTTGGTGGGGACGTGCGGCTGAAGCCTGACATACTGCCTTCTCCAACAGGAAGCTGAAAGAAATAAGAATCAGCTGAATTACGTGCTACATCAGGAGATGGAGATGTATAAAGAAGACAGGAGTAAAACTAAAATGGAACCAGTTTTAAGTACAACGGGTGAAGACTCCAAACATTCCCCAACTGAGGAGAAAGACACACAGCCAGGTGAACCAACACAGGACTATGACCAGGTGAGGGAGGAACTGGCCTAAGCAGTCAGTATATAATCAATCGGCAGTAAATTTATCTTCACAGCCCTTCTTACTTTATTTGCAGAAATTGCTTTTTATTTATTTGTACTCTTTACGGTTATTCTTTTAGATATATGGATTCCTTGTCATCCTAAATACCAGCTATAAGTTAACAGTTTGTGGTGGTGATTTAAGCGTTTGTTTGAGAACAGGAAGGAAATAGTTTCAGAGGCTAAAGATATCCTGCGGATAAGACTCGCTATAAATGCAGAAATCGCAGAGGAGAAATCTCAAGGCTATTTTATTTTGTTTCTGTTGCACCGTGGACTCAGAAGCTCCCTTCCCCCACCCAACCCCGCAACCGGAAATGCTTTCTTGACCTCTGTTCTGGCCTTGTTGGGTCTGACCCTTTCCTGGGCCTCTTTGATCAGCCCACAGTATTGGTTGCACACTCTTATGGTTCGTGATGATGCTTGCTCACGTATGTATGCTGACAGATCTCCCACTGTAGCCACACAGGGTGTCTCCAAATCCATGAAAATTGCTATGTCTTCTGTCACGTGTGCTCCTCTTGCTTGTTTCTCCCCTGTTTTCTAAAATGTTTATGTTTACAAAAAGAGGTGAAGAATGAAAAGCACCAATTCAGTTAGTTATCTTTTGCTGCATAATAAATTCCCACTGGACTTCCTGGCCCAGACAGCACACATGAGTATCGGTCATTTGTGGGCCAAGATCCAGGTGTGCCTTAGCTGGTCTACACATAGAGCAGGATGAACTTGTTAGAGCCTCAGGCTTGTGTAGGCTGTGGTCTTAAGAATCAGTGCCTTGGCTAAGAAAGATAAAGGTGAGGCTGCATCATATACACTCTAGTTTTATTTAGAAATCATGTCAAAGTTCATACATCAAAACGTTAACTGCTTTTTCTCTCTATGGTGAGATTTTGTGAATTTTGTCATATTTTTCTAGTTAAAAAGCCTTGAGTTTTCGTGTCAAAAGAAATAAATCGATTTTCTATATTTTCTCTTTGATGTTATGGTATTAATTGCCCTGTTCATGGTATGCCTTTCTAATATTATATATCTTCAACTAGATTTTTTTATTTATTTTTTTTTCTTGTACGCTTAGAGCCTATAACACCAACAACTTAGAGAAATGCATGGGAATTAAAAATTGCCCTCAGAGGTGGAATTTTTATAACATTTAATTTTAACTCCTAAAGCTGTTCAACTATTGTTTTCACTAAATGAGATTAACTCTCCTAGTCAACAAACCAAAGCTGAGAGAGAGATAATGTATGAACATATGGACACACTCCTGAAGATTGTGGTAGTGTCAGGGAAAAGGCATCCTTAAAACACTTTCTTCACAACCTGAAGCTAGAGAAACAACTCAGGAGCAAAGTCAGGGAGAGATGAGATGTACAGAGCCGTGTTGACCCTGGAAATGACATGCCCTCAACCTTCCTGTATCCCCTGCAGCTGAAAAGCTTCATTGTCTGCATCCATGTGACAGAAAAACACCTGTCACTGTTCAAAGGAATTCATCTGTTAATAAAAACACACTTGTTAGGCCACAGGTTTCACTTTGATCAGATACCTCAATAAATATTCCAGTAGGCATTCTCAATGTACATTTAAAATATATAAATACTAAAAACACCATCAGGTTAGTGTATGAGCGTAATAAACCATAGGACATTCCATCTAAAATAATAAAGTAACATACATTTAAAGTAATTTTATCTACTAAAAATATTATTTAAAAAAAACCAGGGCTAGCTCCTCCATAATCTCTTCTTATGCCAAAATATAATTACTCAGCCTTTGTGACATATTTGTCTTATATGATTGTCATTTTAAGAAACCTGCTTTGATGCATGGTGATGTGTGCCTTTAATCCCATCACTTGGGCGACCAAGGCAGGCAAATCTCTATGAATTCAAGACCACCCTGGTTTAGATATTGAGCTCCAGGATGACTAAGGCTACATAGTTAAACTGTATCTCAACAACAAAGGGGAAGGGAGTAGGAAAAGTATTTTAAGTATTTTTTCTAAGTGATTCATTGTAAACATGGCCTATACATATTTGTTATACATAATTTTAATTTTATGTTTATTACAGATGACACCTGAAAAAAGTGAAAGGTTAGTCCATAATTTTATCAATTTATAGACATAAGTGAGTCTTTGTTTATATCATCAGTTGCTCTTGGGCTATTACTTAGGACAACTATATTTATTTTGTGTGTGTGTGTGTGTGTGTGTGTGTGTGTGTGTGTGTGTGTGTGTGTGTTTTTTTGTTTTTGTTTTTGTTTTTTCCGAGACAACAGGGTTTCTCTGTATTGCTTTGGATCCTCTCCTGGAACTAGCTCTGTAGAGCAGGCTGGCCTTGAACTCACAAAGATCCGTCTGCCTCTGCCTCCCGAGTGCTGGGATTAAAGGCGTGCACCACCAAGGCCCAGTTTAGACAACTAACTTTAAATATAAAATGTTTGAAATATTGGATGTCAAAAACTGGAGATTAGATGCAATCAAAAACTCAAAATTTTACAATCACTTTAAGTTAAGGGCCATATTTAAAGCATAGTTAGATTTTTTTTAGAGTAATGAACTGATTCTTACTTTGAATTTAGATATCAAAATACACGACCTAGATCTATGAGCAACTCAATACAACTCTGTCTTTCATTGTCCCAGCCATTCACGTTTTGGTGTGTAAGGGAACATGAAACTAGTTGAGTTGCTTGATTCACCCAAATAAATGGTGGAGTTTTCCTTCTTGAGTCTCTTTGATTAGAATAGTGTGATTATTAACAAGTCTGCTTAGTCAGAGCACAGTATTCCTAAGGCAGGGTACTTGCGGGGCAATGAATTCTGCCAGGGGAGTTAGGGTCTTTCTGAGTCAAAATGAGCTGTCAATGTCTATTTATTTACTCCTTAACTATACAAGCCTTCTGTGTGAAGTTTTTACTTTGATTACCTTGCAGAAAATAGAAGAAAGTGCCTGACAATGTGTATTTCTATGCTTTATTACCATCTTTAGGTTTTCTAGATCACAGATCCAGGTCAATTAGCAACCGGGCCCCATTTTTAATGTTTGTGTGTGTGTGTGTGTGTGTGTGTGTATATATATATATATATATATATACACACATACATATATATGTATGTATATACATATGTATGTATATATACATATATATGTATATATACATATATATATATACATATCTTTAAAGTGTGTACTTTTTCTATTTCAGAAAACATTAGACGTTGCTTTCCCTCTATCCTTGCTATCTTACTATGGGAAGGGCTTCTAATTTGTCCCTGTACATTTTAAAATGTTTGGTCACCATTATAGACATTGCGAGATCATAAGAAAAAGTATTGGTAATTAAACCCCCCATGGAAGTTTAACCATCTTAAATGCTGTGTGGAAAGAGAAACAAAGCAGGGTGCTGTCATGCTCATGCTGGGATTATGGTGGGTATGGCATAGTTCTGTGGTTTCTCTAAAGAAACATGATGGAGTGCAGCCTTTGGAAATTCTGGACTGTCTGCATCTGCCACCTGCAAAGGTAGTGGTAAGTCTTGGTTCAACTTGTTTTAATATTGAACATTGAGTTGCCATTAATGAACCCAGTAGACTACCTTGGTAGTCTAATCTCAGAAGGGGTGGCCTTTACAGGGCAATATGATAAAAGATGCTTCCATGTGTACAGATTGTGAGGCCTTCATGAGCTTGTGTAGAATCTGCATGTGGTGCTCAAGGAAAAGCCCAGTGAAAACTTAAGGCAATACGGGGAAATACTACATTTTTTGCTTGGTATATTTTGTAGACTTACCCGTTAACAGCCATATTTTAAGTAATGCTAAATATGTTTACAATTCAAACTGTTAAGCACATGGCACACAGTATTATTCACCAACCTTCATTTTGGGTTACTCCTTAGATCCAAATAGAATTTGTGAAATACTTTGGAAGCCCCCCGACCTTCCGAGAATGGATGGGAGCGAAAGGAGATCCCACCTCTGCAGACATATGGCATTGCTTACAATAAAGAACATTCTTCTGCAATTGGCATCATTAGCAGTTTATTTTGGCTTAGGGAATGAGTTAGTGACAAACATTCAAGCAAATTTTAATAGCTTATTGTCTCACACATATGCACTTTTTAGCTTTTATAAAATGTTTCACATTGAAGTTGGCACCTTCCAGACATGAAAGTGTAAACTATTCCTCAGTGTTTTGTTTTTAAAAGTTATACATCCTTCATCATTCTAAGTATTTTCATGGAAACTTTTGCTCCCAAATACTACAGAGGCTTATTATAAATCACAAAATAACAAACCCTAAAAAGTATTAACCCATGCTGGCTCTCTTCCATAAACTATTAGCTGCTAAGTTTACTTCATTCATTTATCATTCACACAACACATGTTTTTGTCACTCTCAAACACCAAGCATCCTTTAGTTATGGAACCTATGCACAGAGAAGATGGATAAGGACCCTTTCCTTATGCCCACATTTGAGCAGGAGAGAGGTCTTGAAACAAAGCAAATATGATAACTCCAGAATAGAATAGAGAGTGAAAATAATGAAAGAAAATCCCCATCTGTATTTTCTCATCACTAAGACCAAACACAAGAAGCAAGCCAAGGGAAGAAGAGCTTACCGCTCTGAGCCCACAGTGTCACAGTGGGGACTGGTATGGTGGCTGGGCTTGCACACTCAACTTCACTGACCCACTTCCTTCAGTCAGTCCTCATATCTCAAAGACTCCACAAACCTCCCAGACCAGCCACCAGCTGGGCCCAACCACCCAAAACATAGGAGGCTGTTTCCCTTATGAAATAAGCCTCCCAACATGTTTTTTCCTAATTTTATCAGGATATACTTCCACAAGTGAAAGCTTACTTTATCATTATGAACCCCAGAGGAGACTTCCTAATTCCTTTACATGGCCCTTGTCAGGGGTCTGTGAACTAATGATTTTGACATAAGAGAAGTTTTCTAGAGGAAACCTAGTAAGAAACAGCAGGGATAAAAATATCCTCAAGGAAGAGACAATTATATGGAAAAAATGCTCATAAACTGAACATAGCTGGATTCATCATTGAAAGTGTTCAGAGAGGGACTCCCGTTCACATCCCCTCTTCACATATCATTACCAAACGATAGGGGAATTGGAAGAGAACAGGGAATACCTAACCAACCACATACATAGAAGAACTTTCTGGTCAAGGCAATGGCCTTTTAATAAAAAATGCACGTGAAGGGGAAGCAGTGCACACATGATTCCCACTGAGCATTCTTGAGGAACCCAGTCATTAAGGGTGAAGTAAGAGTGCCACCTAGAGATGAAGAGCTGCCTATGCTGTGTCTTCGCATTGTACTTGAGATTCATTAACATAAGTCTCTTCATCACCTCTGGCTGTGACCTAGTCTTGAACAAGCTGGTTTCTAAGTATTAACCAATAGAAGAGAAGATATCAATCGGCAGGTTTGCCAGATGGGGTAGTTGAGAATGGAAAGCCAACATCATGAGAACTGCATAGACTAGATCCCATATCCTTAGCTAGCCACAGAGAGCTACTTTGGATGTCTGTACCCTATACGGAATAGAAACATATTTGCTGTCTCCCTTGACATATACTTTGGCCATTCCCCAGAGTCATACATGTGCACACCTGACAAATATATCGGTTAATGCCCCATAGAGATATAAGCCAGACACTCCATTTTCTGGATTGATTTAATTAATTTAGGAGAGCCTCCCATGGTGGTCACTTACAGAATGTCCTGATGCAAGGATATGTTCTTCTTTTAAATGAATAATATGTTGTAGTCACTTTGCAGTATGGTTGAAGCAAGAGGAAAAGATAAATGAAACATTGTTCCTATTGAAATGATTACCCCTCACACCCAAACCCCAGTCACTTTGGAGTTCAGCCATAGGGAAGGATCTTACATCAGTCGTTTAACAGTCTGTAACTTGGGAATTGGCAATCAACTTGTGAATATTCTTTTGAATCAAATCTTCTGCTCCAGTGTTTTCAAGTAACCTTTCCACTTCTGTGGCCATTTCATTACCTCGGTATATTCTGTCCTACATCTCTGTGGCTATATAATTTTTGTTTCCATTTTGGTCAAGTTATGTGTCCTTTGTGGCACTTTTGGAGTCATCTACAGCACAATCACCGAGATACAGGTCATAGTAACCCAGTGGTAATTTGTCTGGTGTAAGACTTCATATGGTTCATTTCCCATCTTGAGAGTGGCATAAAACTTCTACTTTCATAAACAATAATAGCCAAATGAGTCCTATACCACAGTCTTTGAAAAACTTATGCAAAGTAGTAGTCAAACACAAGCCGTGTACTAGGCCCTCATATCTGTACAGTGTAATGCTTATGCTAGGGGCAGCCGATGGACAATGGGAAGTACTGGAGGGGAAGGAGCCTGTCCACATAGTAATTTATATGTTCATAGAAAAAAATAAGGTAATTTTAGAACTTTTAAAGTTTCTGATAAGAGAGACAGAAAGACTTGTTGGGAAAGAGGCACATGGAAGGCATTCATAATGCAATACTATAGGTATTCACAGCACAGAAGACCTTGTATTGGCCAAGCTATAAAATGGGGGAAAGAGGCCACTGGGGAGAAATACTGTTCATCATTTCCACCAAAGAATGGTTTTCCTACTGTTAGAATAGTTGGGACTTGTCTTACATAATTTCCTTATAGATTAAATTCAGTTTTTAATTATGTCAATAATTAAAATGTTAGAACTAGGTACACAGTCAACATTATTTCTTTGTGAATTATTATACACAGGCTTTTTATTTAGTCAAATTAATGCAAGTATTTTTAAACTATGGCTTTTACAGTCTTATAATAATGTGGACTAGTAAACCTTCTGAGTTTCTCTTCAATTGAAAGACCTACAACATGCTACTCTGAAGATTTGACTAATGACAGTTGTGATTTTTAAACTATGCAGTATTTGTGATAGGACTAGGGAAATATTTCAGTTAGTAAGGTGCTTATCTTGCAAGTGTGGAAACCTGAATTTGGAACACAAAGGCCACATAAACAGAAGCAGGACATGGTTGTATACACTTGTAACCTTAGCACTGGAGAGGCAAAATAAACTTGTTCTCTCTGGCCAGCTAGCCTAGCTTAATAGATGAGCTCTGTACCCACAAAGACCTTGTTTCAAAGGAGGAAGGAATTATTTCTCGGTATGTCAACCGTAATTGTCCTCTGGCCTCCATGCATATGTCCACATGTGCATATATGTACCTGCACACACACATATGTCCAACACACATGATGCTTATAACTGTTGAGTTTTGTATTTCCAATATTGAAAGTTTCTAAAAATTTCATTTTTAGAATATCTTAGGTTATATTATATATTTTGAAGCTTAGAGATTTTCTTCTACTTCTTGTACCATAATAGATAATATCAAATTCTCTCATCTATATTTGCATTGATAATTCAAAATCCAGTGCATACAATAACCCTTATGAGAGTTTTGTTTCCCCTAAAGAGGAAAATTATGGCTGGAGTGTCATGCTAGAATGAAAGTGGTGCTAAGCAAAGTTATCCTGAAAAGGATCTTGAGAATAAGAAAATAGGGCAGTTTTCTCTATTTCCTGGAATGCTCATGGAGTAAGAGCTTTTGTCTATGGTATGTCTATGATGACAAGCATACAGCTAGTAACTCAGTGTGAAGATGCTGCAATGCCCCAGCATGGGGGATTAGCACAGGTATCGGCCAGAAAGTGGTCCTTACATACTCCATAAGCTATAGAGGATGCTGTCTCTGTGCTGAATGAGCACTGTTAAAGCCTGCATTTTGGTTTATTCTACTGTACTGTTTCATGTTTCAGTACAATGATGGCTACAAAAGAGCCTCAATCTGAGGTAGGTGGTGAATGACACAAATTGATAAAACTTACAGATTGCACCAGAGAAGAGGGCCAATGCACGTCGTTTTCATTATTATTTTTATTATTGTTGTCCTTATGAGTATATAATACTTTCTCCACCTCCTCCTTCCTGGCTCACAGTAAGGCTTGGAAAACATGGCCGTATCCACATCTCAAAGGTACTGACGTCAGCTGCCATCTACCACTGATTGTAGCCATTTCATATTTTTCTCTACTGTGTTGTATCCAGCAGTCTTTTATGAGTACAGGAGATGAGAAGTGGGTAAAGCCAGAATGTGAGAAAATGCTTATAAATAGGCTTCACATCATATTTGAGGGCATGCTTTTGAGGTTGCTACATCCTTTCTCTGTTGTTATACTTGGCGATTTACCTACTTGCATATCAAAATCTCTACAAATACCGTATTCTCTTCTTCCAGCTGTATGGAAACCTTGATGGTAGTGAGCGAGGGTACAAGGAAGTTTCTAAATGAACATGGTTCACAGGGTACAGGTGAACCATTCTCATGCTTCAACAGCCTGGAGTCAGTAGTCCTCTAGTATGTGTCTTTAAAATCACCTCTAGAAGAATATGTGTCTTATGACTAGTCATCTTAAATACTAGGCAAAACCAGTAAATCATGTTTGAGGGTAAGATTTTATCCTTGTCAACTTGGAAGAGGAAGCCCTGATTCTCTGTAATTAGAACCTGTTTTATAACAGCACCACAGAAATCTGTCTGCAGAAATATCTCACCCACCTCATTGAACTACTTTAGAGATCTTGCAACAAGTGGTATAGGATTATTTCAACCAAAGTATTGTTGGATTAAGATAAGCTATCAGAATCTTGAACTGGGTAAGATGGCTTAAAGGCAAGTAATTAGTACATCCCTAATAACAAGGAAGGCTTTGTTGGGTTTTGTAGAAAATGTAGGTACTTATACTATTTAAATCATGACCTGATGTTGAATATTGCTAAATGCATAAACTGGGACTATGCAGACAGAAAGTGCTCTGTAGCCTTTCTAGGTCTAGAAACCAAGGAGCCACACTCATGCCTTGTGGTGGGGGAAAAAAGCCAATTCTGTGCCTTGAAAGAAAACCTACTGCAAAGAAAACTAACTCTGAACTTAGGATTATTTTGGTTTTAAAAGAAAAAAAATCTTTAACGTCAAAATGTCTCTGGTGAAGTTTTTATTACATTCTGAAATGAAATTTCGAGGTTATTTTTGTCAAATACATATGAGTAAACAGCAGCTTCCAGATTATTACATTTGGTTTGGCTAGACAAGGCTACCTGTTCTACACCCTGTTGTGGTCATCAATGACCACTGCAATGTTTTAAATGCACTTTTGTGTCTCCTCTTTAAGTTCCTCACTATGCCTTACCGTCATCAGCTTGTGTGATATCAATTTTGTGTAAGAATTACATTTGATAAGTTGGTGCATTATAATTGCTTGCCTAATATCCTTGTCAATTACATGATTCTTTATTTACAAATCCAGTACTCTCCATCTAATCTAACACTAGACATTTTGTGATTCTAAAGCTTGGAGAAGAAACGATCTAGCTCTGCTGTTTTAGACCCTTCAGCTTTAGAGGGTTACTATGGTGTCTCAGATGTTTCAGCATCCCCACCAGAGGTCTCTAAGTCATTTGCAGAAGTGCCATTAATTGAAGAGCACCAAGAAACCTCACCTCAGCCAAAAGAAACAGAGATGTGGTCCCTGGTGTCATTTCCTGATCTCACTGAAGAAATGGAAAAGGTGTGTTACAGTATAACTTGAAAATTGTTTATTTTAGAATGTAGATTCTTTTAGTGTTTTGAGTAGTTGCTGATTAATCTTCATCAATACTTCCTTATTGCAAGAGAATAACAAGTTTGCTATTTAATACTACTGGTTCATGTTTAGTATGTTGGAAGTGATATTTGCAAAATCTAAGTAAAAATTTTAATGTAGAAGACATTCTAATTGGTATTGACAGAGAGTTGCTTGACTTAATGATGAATTAAATGTATAATTCATGGGATAAGCGAAATTTTCAGTTTTTATTCAAGATTTATCAATGATGCTTACAGTATAAAAAGGTTTCACTATGAAACCATAATCACTTTGAGTGATGTTGTATACACTTAAAACCTGGGAAACTCTAAGATCCACTTTAGTTAGAAAAATGCTTAGTTATGGCATTTTTAGGGTCAAAAATGCTGGAAGAGAGGTTAAACAGTCCAGGCACACATGAAATATCTTCACAGAATGTTTATGTCATGGATGTTACTAAAGCAGGCTTATGGAAGGAAATCTGCAAACCATTAGGTTTTGTCCAAAGAATTAAGGACACTAAAATATGATTTTAAGGAAGGACTGTAACATTGGTTTGACTGCCCACCAGTTTCAGTAGCCTCAGTGTTCCCAACTGGAGCTCAGATCTTCATACTGTTCACAACTTTTTACCTAATAAATTCAGGGAGTAATGAAAAATAAAATGTGGTTGTAATGAAAGTGCAGATTGGGACAAAATGGTAGCTTTCTAATAAAAGTAAATTCAACAGAGCTCTGATATACATCATTTGTAATTATTTACTATAATTTTTGTCATTAAGGCTGAAGCATCACGACAAATCTTCTCTCATAAAGAAGCAGAAAACTTTGAAGGTAAAAAGATTTTCTGTTGTGTAACCTGAAATGTGTCAAGTCATTTGGAGTAGGGTCTAAGCCCTACCCCCTGCACTCAGACTCCATTTCAACTAAGACTTCTGCACAAGGAAATGGCAGCTTTGCCTCAACCTAGAATAGATTTAGCATCATAAGCTCTTAGTGTATCAGAATCCATCTGGACATACCTACCAGAAGAGAAGACTGCTTCTGGTATTGAAAAAATGATATTTTGCTAGGTTCTTTGAGGATTTGGCATATAATAAGCATAAAAACAAAGCTAGAGCTATTCTTTATGCATACCTGTCTTTAATACCCAACTTACATTGCATTGTGTTGGCCTGAACTTTCCAAATAAAGTTGAGATTTAAGGTGTGTGTGGGGGTGGGGGCAATCACCGCTGTGCTTCTCAGTGGAAGTGCCTCTGCATCTCCCTCATGGCATGGGGTACTCAGACAGGGAGTGCTCATGGTGAGGACTCCATGTAGGTTATGATTTTAAACAAGAGCTGATTTGAACTGACTTAAATATATAATTCAGGGCCATTTAGTACACTCAGAGTGTTGTGTGACCATCATGATATCTATGATCTTTCATGCCTACAAAGTTCTCATTTCCCTCCCCTGCCCACGTCTGCTAATCTCTGGTCTCCTTTCTTTCTACACACCTGCTGGTCATTTTGGGATTTCCGGAGTAGTGTCAACCAAATCCTATGTTTTTTTGTGTGTTTGTTTGTTTGTTTGTTTGTTTTTATCCAGTTGTTTTGTCCTTTCTATTTCTTTTTATACTATAAATATTAACTATATGAGATGGTTAGTCTGCCTATACTTTCTTCTATTTTGAGGGGATATTGTTCCAGTTTTTGGATAATGTTCTTAAGTTCATAAAAGGTTTCAATTTTGTGAAGTTCAGTTTGTCTGTATTTCTTTTGTTTATACTTTTTGTTGTCCTCACTGTTATTTCTTAGCTAAATCTAAGGTATAAATATCTATGCTTATGTTCTCTTTTTTAAAGACTTACGTTTTGGTGTGTGTGCGTGCACACACGCACATGCATGTGCACTTATGTATGGGATGATGGGTATTCCTGTGGTGGCTGGAATGCAGTGGCACATCTCCTGGCACTTGGGTTACAGGCAGTTGGGAGCTGCATTTTGTCACCACTGGGGGCTGAACTCTGCTCCTCTGCAAGAGCAGGTAATAAGGTGTGGGGTTCAACTCTTTCTTATGTTATGTAGAAGACAATTTGTCCCAGGATTAACTTTTAATTAAAGAAAAATTAATTCTTTTGAGAGAAGTAAAGCTCTATAGTAACAAGTCTAACCACAGATCTGTGCAGTAGAAGACAAGTTAGAAGATTGTGCATCAGGAGGAGTGGAAGTAACAGACCTTAATAATGGGCAGAAAACGAGATGATGTCTATCTGCCCCGATGACACCAGCTTTCCAGTTCCAACATTCTATCTGTTACAAAAGACCTCCACCATCCCCTAAAAAGCTGAAGTTGTAAAAACGTGCAAGACAATCACAGGGGCATGTTCATGTGTCCCAAAGCCCAGTGAAAGACAGTGTTGTCAGAGATTCCCCCAGGACTAGCCTTGCTGACGCACTGATGAAAATTAACATGTTCGACTGATTTTCTAGAACTTAACTAGTTTACGAAGGATGTGTTCATTCTCCACTGAATTGTCTTGATATTGTGGTATAAAAGAATGAACTTGAGTCTATGTGTTGGTGTACATATCTATATTTCTGCCAATGCCATATTATGTTCATTGTGTGGTTGAGGCTTGGATTTTGAAATGGGAATTTTAACATTGTTTTTGGTTTTGTTTTGTTTGTCTGTCTCTCATAATCCCATACAAATTTCAAATTCAGCTTTTATTTATTATTGTAAAAAGGCTACAGATTTTTGTCATGTTTAGAAGTCAGTATTTCTCAGCTGGCTTCGTAGTCTTCTGGCACAAGACTTTCTTCCCCTGTTCTGAGAAGTTTCCTAAGCCTTGGGTGGACAGGTACAATAGCATCTTTTTATCTTATAGATAACAGACTTATAGCTGCCTGAACATACTTAAGACCAACTTGTCAAAATGCAGACTGATAGACTCTGGAAAGCCCAGCACCTGTGTTAGTTGCATTTAAAATGAGAGAAACTTTACTGTCATCTTCTTTTACATTTGACATTGATAGCACATAGTAAATAGGTTCTTCTGTTTAGTATACTGAATGATTGTTTTTTATGCAGTTTCTTATGAAATACCAAGTGAAAAGCCTACACCAGATGATAAAGATTTGCTGTCAGATGTCCCAGCACTGATAATGAAGCAACTCGCTAAGCAAGGGAGACGCAAACGTGAGCACGGTCGCAGAGAACATTAGCTAGATTATGCTAATAAGCTAAACATAACTGCAAGACATTTTTACTTCAATTATTTATATGATGATATATTTTATAGCATTATTATGATAATTTTTAAGTTTCATTCTCAACAATTTCATATACATGAATAGATTAGGTAGGTAGATGATAGATAGACAGACAGACATATAGGTAGAATCCTGATTATTACTCCCTCCACATCTCTTCTTTCTCATCTCCCTTCCATCCCTATCACAAATACTTTCATCCTACCATTCCATTTCACATATTCATGACTTAGAAGTGTTTCATCTAAGTATGCATACTTTAAGATACCTAGAGAGCTAAAATGCAAGTTCTGACACCTTTTGGCTGTCATTTGTACAGTCAGTGACCTCTCTGCAGTTTGCTCTCCACACACAGGAAAACTCCTCACACATCTCCCACATCACTGCCACAGTCTTTTTTGTTGTATAGTTGATGAGTTTAGCTTTGCACTCCTCTTTGTGTCTTCAGGTAGCATTGCATATGTGGGATGGATTTTGCCTTCCCAGAACTCTTATCATAACTTTGTTTCTCTTTAGCACTTTTTATCACTGCAAAAATGCCTGAATACTTTACTTCACTTTCAAGAACACACTCTGAAATTGGGAATTCTGAAGCCACCAAATATGAGAACACGAGTAAGTAATTACTAAAATATTGTAAAGAAGCTGTTTTCAACTGAATTCAGGACAGCTCTGTTCCTTGTTTCACAGTTATATTGACAGTTAAGTTAGCTTTTTTATTTTGTAATGAATTTATTCATGGTTACTGTTCTTTATTGATGATTTACCTGTGATTACTGTGTCAGCTGTTAATTTTTCTACTGATGCCAATGTACAGAAACGTACTTTAGTCCTAATAAAAGACACCATCTTATCACTTCTGTAGTTATATGTTTGTTAGACTTAAAAACTAGTATTTCTTCTGTTTGTGAAAGTTCTACTGCTTTTCAATTTGATTTTTTGCCATACCTCATTTTCCATCTTAGCAGTATAATCTTCACATTTATGGCCTTGTCGCATACATTTTATGGTGCATAAAATAATGGTATATTTTTGCAAATACAATTGGATGTCTTTTAGTTAGTACTCATAATCACATTAAATTTAACTGCTCCTTATTTTGAAGTTTAAGTATATCATATTCTTTGTATCTTGACTTTTTAATATCTGGTTCTATTACTGGCTTTAATGGTGTATAGTTTTATAGCCGCATTTTTCCCCTTAGGAATATAATGACAAATATTTTAAGCTTTTAATTTTTGATAGTCTCATTTTAATACTCTAAGAAAACTAGAGAATATATTATCTACCCACATACCTGAAAAGTAACAATGTTTATAGCTCAGGTAGATCATCTCCTTTATTAGTTTATTGTCACCAAGTATGAGGTTTCTCGTGTCTGAAGAAATGAGACAAACTTACATTGAATAATGAATATATGTTATGAACTTAGTACTTACATAGCAGCTATGGCTTCAATTCTGAGTTTTAAGAGCCTTTTTCCTTGTATACCCAAGTGTGGGGGAAGAGTACATAAAAATACTGAGTCTGATGCCAAGAGTGTCTAGGAAAGTTACAGTGAATATAATTATATTATTCATTTTGAGCAGGATGAGCACACATCCTATTGCTCTTTCAGGAATTTCCATTATCTCTTCTATTACTGGTATCTATCACATACAAATCTCCATCTTTCTGGAGAACTCACCTTTTTCTCTTTTTACTATTGATAGACCCATGTTACATTTATTCTTTTGAGAGGTGATTACTGAACCTAAGGCCTCAGCTTTAACAGGCAGTCTCCTACTTCCAGTCTGATCTGTTCATCAGTACATTCATGGTGTGCCATTTTTACATACTTTCTTTGGATGTTTAAACACAGTAAAGCCACCATTGCTTGCCCCATCAAATGTGAACACAAACACATACACATGCATGAACACACAGTGTTAAACTTTTAAAAGAGGGAACACACAAAGAAATATAAATCTGTTCATCTCTATATGAAGTAACAAATTGCCCCTGTATTCACTTGGCAAAATCACCATTGTAATTTCCATGCTTTCTTTGGTTTATTCAAAAGTACACATACAACACTACATGACTACAATTTTAATATTATTGCTATTGGAAAGCCAAACTTACTAATATGTACTCTTTATTTTTGTTATATCATTATCACACAGTAGTTTTACTCATGCATTGATCTCCGTCAAACTTTCCTCTATATTTGTCCCCTAGCACTGGTTCCTCCCCAGCCCATAGAAATCCCTCTCCTACTTTCAAGTCATTTCTTTCTTAGTTTCCACCCATGAGATAACAGGTAGATTTGTTACACTTGTCTTCTGTGCTTGGCTGATTCCCACCAACAGTGCACAAGGATTCTTTTCCTTCAGTTCCTTGGCAGTCTCCGTTTTAGCATAGCCATTCTGACTTGGTTGAGATTGTCTCTCATTATAATCTGAATTTCCCCAATAGCTAACATTGCAAAGTTTTTTCATGTATTGACTATTTGCATTTCTTTTAAGGTATGTCCATAGTGGCCATTTTTAATTGTAATCCTTAATTTCCAGTGTTAGGACCGTTTACATTTTTTACATGTCTTGGCTTTTAGCTGACAGCTGTCAGGGATTTTCTCCCTCTGTGTAGGCTGCCTGTTCACTCAGTAATTGTTCTCTTTCCCATAAGGTTAGTGAGTTTGGTGGGATCCCACTCATCAGCTTTGTTTTGCTTACTGGGATCTTGAAATCTTACTGAGAAAATCATTGCTTCTACCAGTATCATGAAGCTGTTTCCTGTTTTTCTCAAGCATTCTCTTTCAAGTATCAAGTTCAAGTTTTTGATTCATTTTTTTGTTGATTTTTGTCCGGGGTGAAAGATGAGTCAAGTTTCATCTTCTGCATGTATATATCCAGTTTTTCCATCCCCCTTATTACATGCTGGCTTTTTGCCAGTGTGGGCTTTTGCCACCTTTGTGGACTATCACTTAGCTATGGACATGAGTTTTATTCTGAGACCCCCTACTCATTCCACTGGTCTGTGAATCTTTTGTGGCTCTTTTAATGTTAGTTCAATGTTATTTTGTCATGGGTCTGAAGTATTGTTTTTAACATTTTATTAATCTTTGAGAATTCTGCACATGTATTTTGAACATATCCACCCTATCATCTCCTCCCCTCCCACCTACTTTACCTTAACCAAGGTCCTGATACCTTTTTTATGAATATGTTTTACTGCATTTATTACTGCTATTGTTGTTGCTTATGGCTTTTCTTATTTCCCCACTACCTTTCCTGTCCCCCATTCCATAGGATTCTTCCCCTCTTTCATGTCATGTGTCTTTTGCCCACAAGTCATCCCTGAATCTTTCTCATAGCCCAATGATCTTTGCTCTTGGTCTCCTTTCTAGACATTTAGATTTTACACCTGTTTGTATATGTGCTTACACTCTTTTGAATTTATTTCCTTTTAACTCTAATATTTACATTGCTTTCCTTTTTTCTCTTATAATATGGGTTTTCTTTGTTCTTCATTTTCTGAGAATTTAGGTTGTTTATTAGAAGCCAGGGATATTTTGTGATTTGCTTGTGGTCTGTCCCTGTCTTTTTCCCAATACAGTGGTCACTTATTGGGACCAGTTTCCCCTCCCCCTCGCTAGACCCATTTATTTGTCTTCATTTCTACTTTGTTTCACATCATCTTTTCTTTTTATATTATACTTGATGATTTTATTTAATTTCTGGAATATTTGAAAAATTAACCTGTTTTTAGAAGTAACTATAGAAAGTCATATTTTCCTAAAAGAATATCCTGACTATGTTTTTTTCCCCTGTTGTTGTGGGTAACCAGCTGCATTGATTTCAATACCTTTTCTGTATTTTCTTTTATAAAGATGAGTCTGTACTTCTTTTCCCTACCCCCCCACTTCTTTCTTATTATGGAGGTGGTTTATAAGTGATCCTTTTCATCCTTTTCATTCTTTTTCCCCACTTAACATTATCTCCAAGTAATTCCTATACATTGTTTTACAGAGATGCTTAGTATTCAATATTGTGTATGTTCTAGTTGTTTAACCTATTCATCATCACTGATCTTTGACTATGCTGTAATTGCTACACTAATCACATAATGTATGCATTGCCACTGTTCTATTATTTATGTGCATTGGCATAAAAGCACAATCAGAACAGCATAACTAGAAATTAAGACAGAAAGTTAATATATGTTTATGAATTAAGGGCAGAAATTGGATGATATCTATTAGATTTCTTTAATGTTTTCTCACATTATAGTAATCCAGTAAATTGGGGAAAGCTGTGTATACACATTTTATAAATTTGAAATGTATGCATCTGTCCTATTTGCTGCACTAAATATATTTCTATGCAGATGAATATGAAGAGCAAGATAAAAAAATTGGCAAAGAAGACTCAAAAACAGATATAAAATTGAAGGGGCAAAAAGGTTCTAAGACTGGGAAACTATATAGTAAGTATGAGAATTGTCTGTGATATTATGTCATCTTGAGTTAAATCCATCACAACATTTTTCTTTGTCAAGGAAAATGTGACATCTATCTTATGGAAATTTTAACTTTGTCTTAAAATACCTTAAGATAACTTTAAGATAACTAGACAACAGTCACATAGAGTTTGTACCCTTTGCCTGCTATTTCTGATTCTGTAGTTATTTCACTGATAAGACTCCTATTGACCAAGGCCCTGAAACAGGCCAGTAATCCACATTGTTAAGTGTGTGTCCTACCTTCCAGCTCTCAACTATAGATTATATATCTTAAAAAGCTACAGCAAGTGCCTCTTCCCTGTGCTAATAACCATCTGCCACAATCTCAAATAATCAGACAGACACAAATAACAGAGCTTTCATTTGGTGTAGGGACTGGAATCATGTTGTCCCTCACTACGCCAACTTTGGAGCATCATTTGACTTACCTCTGGGCCTTGTGTTCCCTG